ACTTAGGTTTATCTAGCTGTATAAAAACGATAAAAGTCTAGCCAATGTCCACAATTAGGTAGCTAAGCAAACCGACTGTTTAACTGTGTGTGTGTGTGTGTGTGTGTGTGTGTGTTGATATTTTTGACACGTGCCTAGTACCTCCTTGTTTGGGGGTCTTTTATCTTTTAAAGATCTGCACTTCCTTCCGCTGCTAAGCGCTTGCTGTTGCATCAGGTGTTGGTTTTGAGTTGTTGTGGGCTGATTAGCGCCTCGAAACGAACTGAAATATTAATCATAAAAGCTCTTCATCTCTTCAAAGTCTTTTCAGCATTATTTTTACAGTCTTTTTCAGTGTGTTAAGAATGTCGTCGATCATAAACACTGTACAAGCGGAGTGCAACGGAAAGGAAGTAGAGGTAAAACTATAAATATAATGTCCTTGTGCCTGGTTTTGTGGAATCAGAAATATTCGATATCGTTTGTTTCTCCAGAATCGTATACGCTTCCTTATTATCGAGACAACAGCATTACAGATTTTATCAGGAGTGTGCGTTATGGTGGTGACCATGCAGTAACAGATCTTATATTGTTGAAGGATAAGGACCATCCCCGTGTGCTGACCCCAGGGCTCTGCAGACTCTTCTATAAGCTGGGCTGGATGACAGGAACCGGGGGAGGAATAAGCCTGCGGCATGGGTTAGTCAAGGCAGTTTACTCCAACAATAAAATCCACTGTGTTCCGCAATATTCACTTGCTATGTGGATCAGTGACGTGAAAAGTGTTTATGATAAAGAAATGGAAAGGTCTTAAAAACAGATGTACCAAATTCTCACAGAGCGACTTTTCTCCCAAATATTATATTTTATAATGACAACATTTTGTGTGGTGTAAAAAATGCTAATATATCTTGACCATGACACAGTCTGCAGATGTCCTCTCTGAAATATTTTCCCTTTTTTAAATGACTTAATTAATCTGTCTATCCATCCATCCATGATGTTTGTGACTTAAACCCAAGAATGAATATCCTGTCAATAATTACTTACCCTCATGTTGTTCAAAAACGACCAAGACCATATTGTGTGCCATATGTAATGCACTATACATGTATTTATTTAGTCATTTAGCAGACGCTTTTATCCAAAGAGACTTACAAATGAGGACAATAAAAGCAGTCAAAACTAACAAAAGAGCAACAAAGTATAAGTGCAAATGACAAGTCTCGGTTAACCTAACGCAGTACGCGTAGCAAGGTGTATATATAATATATATATATATATATATATATATATATTATATATACACCTTGCTACGCGTACTGTGTTAGGTTAACCACACATTCACACACATACATACATAGATACAAACACATACACATAGATGCACACATATACATATATATACATACATACATACATATATATATTATACATACACACACAAAGAAGATAAATATAGATAAAGTAGAATTAAAATAGAATAGTGAGTGTTAGAGTTAGAGGGTCAAATAAAGGTGGAACAGATGTGTTTTTAGTCGTTTCTTGAAGATGGGTAAAGACTCAGCTGCTCTGATTGATTTGGGCAGGTCATTCCACCAGGAGGGAACAGTTAATGAAAAAGTCTGTGAAAGTGATTTTGTGCCTCTTTGAGATGGCACAATAATACGCTGTTCACTTGCAGAACACAAGCTCCTGTATTTACAGATTAATTATGCAAATTTATACAAATTATGTATGTGCATCGACCATTCAAATAAAAGCCTAAATTAAATATGTTCCATCATATAAAGCGATCATACTTCTTCACAAAACTTGAATTAAACCACTTGATTCATATGAATTAATTTTACAATGCCTTTATAACCTTTTTGGTTACCTGGACCTTCAATAGAGGGACCGAAACCTTTTGGGTCTCAATAAAAAATATTTTAATTTGTGTTTTAGAGATTAATCAAAGTCATACAGGTTTGGAAGAACATGAGGGTGAGTAAACGATGACAGAATTTTCATTCCTAGGTTTACTTTAATGCCCTTCAAATAGATTTTTATGTGAGAAATTAAAAACATGCATGTACCATATAGTTGCAAATGTATGACATTTATTGAAATGTATAATTATTTATTCTTCCAGTGAGCACGTTTATGTAGCTCCCTCAGGTGTTCAGAAGGAGAGAATACAAGCACGTTTTTTTTTTTTAGTATTGAGTCATACTACCATGTTGTGGCATGTAATGAAATAACGCCAACAAACTATCTTTCCACTCCTGTTTATAGCCAGATGACTTGTTTGTGTGTGATATTGATGAGAAGGACATCAGTTGTCCACCTCCACAGAAAAAGCTGAAGAAAAGCCAATGCACGCCCCTCTTCATGAACGCCTACACAATGAGAGGTACCTGTTCACACACAGTGGGTTGCTTCTGTTCTGTACTCTATCTAAAAGACATTGGCATTTCTTTTCCACAGGAGCTCAGGCAGTTATCCATACACACTCAAAGTCTGCTGTCATGGCAACTCTCATGTTTCCTGGCAAGGAATTCCGCATCACGCATCAAGAGATGATCAAGGGGATTCGAAAAGGAAACTCTGGTACAAACTACAGGTTGTACTTGCTGCTAAGAGGCGTTATTCTTGCCATTTTACATTAGTAATATGTAACACTTGCTTGTCCTATAGTAGTTCATCCAAAAACGAACAGTTGTGATGGTAATGTCAGCATCTTAATTTCTGCTTTTACTTTCTGTTTGTATGTGATTTGACTCAGGTATGACGAGACTCTAGTTGTTCCAATTATTGAGAACACCCCAGAGGAGAAAGACTTAAAAGAGCGCATGGCCCGAGCCATGGACATGTACCCCGACTCCTGCGCTGTTCTCGTCCGCAGACATGGGGTCTACGTCTGGGGAGAGTCCTGGGAGAAAGCAAAGACAATGTGAGGCTATAGGAAATGAAATGCACACCTCATGGCTATATTCTGTGTATGCATACAATATTTATAGTTTAAATCTGTATTCTTTTTCAGGTGTGAATGTTATGACTACTTATTTGACATAGCTGTGCAGATGAAACCGTGTGGCCTGGAACCCTCTGCTCTTCCTACTGAGGATAAAGGCATTGTTTGATACATTTAAGTCTGTAAAGTTACCAAATGTTACCACTATGTTTTCAAAATAATACATGCTTAATGCATTTTTGCACAAAATCTATGATGTTCACAACAATATTCTTTTCAGTAATTGTTTTTTTTTACAAAGTCAATTACCTGCAAACAGAATGCAATGTAAGAAAAATTATTAGAATGGCTTGCATGCCATTCATCTTTTTGTGTGTATGATTCCAGATTCCAGTGTCTGGTAAAATATCACTAGTGCCTCACACAAATGTATGTGTCAGATATAAAATGTTTTTTTTATGTTTTTGACAGAATTGCTCACCAAGGCTCCATTTATTTGATTACAAATACAGTAAAAATAGTAATATAGTGAAATATTATTGTAATTTAAAATAGCTGTTTTCTGTTTAATATATTTTAAAATGTAATCTATTCCTGTGATTCCACTCCAGTCTTCATTGTTACATGGTCCTTTAATCTGCCGACTTTGGTGCTCAAGAAACTTGTTTAAAATGTTTTTCTAGGATTCTTTGATGACTAGAAAGTTCAAAAGAGCAGCATTTGAAATGTTTTATTTTTTTATGAACAATTATTTGAAATATATATGTTTTCTAATATTATAAATTCCATTGAAATGTCACTGAATTGAATGCATCCTTTAATATGTATAATATAATTTATATATATACACACAATATTTTTGTCTCATTTGTTTGATTGGGTTCTCTGTCTACTTTCAGGACTTTCTGTCAACAAACAGTAATAGTAGTATATATTTTATATTATTCATGAACTGATCAGAATGGCCATGCCGATTATTTTAATGACTCAGAGCTGCTGCTGGATCAATTTAACAGGTCTTAGTATAGTTTGTTAAATATTATGCTTTTGATTTATGGTATTATTGACCCTGGATTTTTGCATTGAGATTCAAACGATATATACAGTGTTGTTATGTACAATTCAGGTCATATAGCCAGGAGATGGCACTGTTGTCTCAATGGCCTTTTGTACTTCCCAAGAATTCTTGTGGTTGTGCCCTCTGCAACTTCAAACATGTTTGTATTAGTCATTTTTAGTATGTCTGCATTTAACAGCTTGAGTTTCAGTGGAATATGAAAACAATCGTGTTGTGCCAGAGTCGGGGCTCAGAGAAAGACTATCTAATGTTATTTGAGGGAATCCGTGTTTTACTGCCATCCATTTTGTACTGCTTCTGCCTGCCCATCCATTTGAATGAACATTATTCTCAAAGGCCCTGTAATTCACAAGCTGCCCGCGCCTGCTAGAAGCTACAGGGCTGGTCTGAACTGAGCCTGGGTGATTCAAACCCCCTCAGAGGCTGGTCTCATCATCCCTCCATATGCTGTTGCAGTTAACATCTCTGAGGCAATGCCTCTTGTTGTCGAGCAGGTTTCATCAGTGCAGTCAAAATATGATCAAATCTGATACACCCTCCTTTCAAAACTTCCAGACCATCACTGGCACAGATATACATGCAACTAATGTTGAGTGAAGAATGTCCATAATGCTCAGCAGAACACATTATGACTTAATCGTATTTTTTTGCGATGTCTTTTAAAATTGACACAAGATCGTTAAAGATATCAAATACCATTTAAGCAAATAGATTCCAATTATTTCTGAATGTGTTTTTGATGGAGTACAGTCCTTTACGTCAATGTTTATATGTGTCATCCCAGGGATAACATTCAGATACATGTTTCCGATGTAATGTTCAGGCTATGTTTCACTAAATTGAGATATTAGGCCTATCTGTTTAATATCTTTCTGATATTTTGGCAGGCCCTAATACCATGTGTTACAGAATTTAGTTTCGCAGTGGGGGACCCACTGTGCAGCTTTTATTTATTAGATATAGTCAGCATATTTATCAATTAATTCAAACTGATTCAAAGGGAACAATTGAACAAAACAAATGAAGTAAAACAATTTAAAGTGTTGGGAAACTCGCATTATGAAATAAATGTTTTTCTCCAATGCATGTTGGCTATTATTGGCACCCCTAGAATTCTTATGAGTAAAATATCTCTGAAGTATATTCCTATTCATATTTACATTTTTTAGCACACCAGGGTGATTATGAACATGAAATTGCCTAGCCATGACTTCTAAACATGAGGAACACAAAGGTCAAATTCCCTTAATCATCAATCACAAGGAGTAAAACAAAAGAATATAGTTCTGATGTACAAAACAAGATTGTTGAGCTTCACAAAATAGAAAGTGGTTGTAATAAAATAGCTAAAGCATTGAAAATCCCCATTTCCACCATCAGGGCAATAATTAAGAAGTTCTAATCAACTAAAGATGTTACAAATCTGCCTGGAAGAGAACATGTGTCTATATCATCCTGCACTATGAGGAGGAGAGTTTGAGTGGCCAAAGACTCTCCAAGGATCACAGCTGCAGAATTGCAGAGAGTAGTTGAATCTTGGGGTGAATCTTCAGAAAGACAAAAAAAAAAAATCAAACAGCCCCTACATCATCACCACATGTTATTAAAAAAAAAAACTATCATATTCAGTTGTCAGACACGACTGGAACTTCAAATGGGACTGGCTTCAATGGTCAGATGAAACAAAAAGAGTTTTTTGGCAGCAAACCCTCCAGATGAGTTTGGTGCAAACAGGGATAAAAAGTACCCCATGTCCACATTTAAATATACTGCTGCATCTATAATGTTGTGGGCCTGTTTTTTCTGCCGGAGGTCCTGGACATCTTGTTCAGATACATGGCATCATGGATTCTATCAAATACCAACAGATAAAAAATCTAAACCCGACTGCCTCTGTAATAAATCTTATAATGGACCATGTTTGAATCTTCCATCAAGACAATGATCCAAGACAAACATGAAAGTCAACAAAAAAATGTGTCACTGAGCGCAAAATGAAGCTTCTGCCATGGCTGTCTCAGTTCCCTGACCTGAACCCTAGAAAATGAGTGGGGTGAACTGAAGAGAAGAAGCACCAACATGGAGCTGGTATTCTGAAGGTGTCTGGAGTGATTCTGGATGAAGAAATGGACTCTTGTCGTGTTCTCCAAACTAATCAGACATTATAGGAGAAAACTCATAACTGTTATCTTGGGAAAAGGACATTGCAATAATTGGGTGCCAATAACTGTGGCTAACGTGAACTGGAAAAAAACATTTATTTCATAGTGTGAGTTTTCCCCACTTTTCATTGATCAAAAGGATAAACAATGCAGATTTATTCTCACAGTCACCTTCGCTGTATTTACCAAGGGTGCCAATATTAGTGGGCGACACTTTAGACCTGTTTAAATATCAGTAGTGATTTAATTTAAATGTTTTGGCTGTTTTTTTTTTTTTTTTAATATATATATTACAGTAATGTACCAAGTAAGAGGGTTCTCTATAGGCTGCTGTACTTTACAACATTTCTGAGAGATTAAAATTTAATCATAACCTTGATTAAATCAAATTGTATTAAATAAAATGTTATTAAAACCTTAATATTAAATCAAAATCAGAATTCAATCAAACTCAATCAAGCATTTGTGAATCAGAATCAAATATTGTTGTGAAATCTCTCTCTCTCTCTCTCTCTCTTTCTCTCTCTTTAAGGGACAATTGCACTGTTGAATGAATCCAAGAGAAAGGAATGTGGCTAATGACCTGAATACCCTGGCTTGGATATGTTATGAGACTACCAAACCTGTTTATCAAAAGGCTGAAAATGTCTGATGTGGGCTGAGATGAAACAGGGAAATCTGTGAGCTGGAGTGCAGTGAACCAAAGCCACCTAAATTGACTATGTGTGTACGTAGGTACTTTGAACATAAGTTGCTCATATTGATTTCAAACACATAACATTCTCTGACAGATTTGAGAGGATTTAGAGTGGGCGCATATGAAGAGTGAGGTAACAATGGTGTAGACACAGGCTGGCCTCTGTGTGTCCTGTAGAGCATCAGGTATTTATGTTTTATGTTTAACAGTTATTACTGAAGAGTAGAACATCATTAAATGAGTCTGAGCAACACTTGAATTACAACTTATTACCAGGTGCATAATACTCAGCTTCTATTATTTTCATTTGTATGGTGCTGTGGGTAAAAAAAACAACCTGTCTAGAATCAGGTATTAATATCTGAATTATTATTATTATTATTACTGGTTATAACTGAACGTTTCAGGTTACGTATGTAACCATGATTCCCTGTGAAGGGAACGAGACACTGCGTCCTCTAGGAGTCGCTATATGCGCTATGACCTGTGTCTGAAGCATACATTCAAAACTACAACACGTTGGCCGGCGACAGCCTATGACGCCACTACCGGTGCTACCACAGTATAAAGGGGCGCCGGGAGAACACACCATCTGCTTCTTCATCTGTAGCTTGTGTCGGAAGCATGGCAAGGAAATTAGAGGACGCAGTGTCTCGTTCCCTTCTCAGGGAACCATGATTACATATGTAACCTGAGACGTTCCCTTTCGAGGGAACTTCGAACTGCGTCCTCTAGGGGTCGCTATGGGGAATGGTATACCCACGCCACCATGCTGAGGGGAGTGCATGCCAAGCACAAAGGTGAGCACTAAGTACCAACTCTACCAAAGCTTAAGGGAGTTGCCCCTGGGACGGTTCGATGGCTGTCCCCTTCAGCCAAATGCCTGAGCTACATACCCCAGAAACTTACCTGTTAGGGGCCGGGCCTCCTGGACCCAGGGTAGCGCTCAAAGGCTTGGAATCAGAAGAAGAGATTCCTTTAAGGGGATAAGACCAAGTGCCTAGGATAGCAACTAGGCCTTGGCCTGTCACCCAGGGGCTACCGCTTGCTCTGCATGAGCTCGCTGAAGGAATTGGGGATATACAGGTGCATCTCAATAAATTAGAATGTCGTGGAAAAGTTCATTTATTTCAGTAATTCAACTAAAATTGTGAAACTCGTGTATTAAATAGCCAAAATCATCACAATTAAAAGAACCAAAGACCTAAACGACTTCAGTCTGTGTGCATTGAATTTATTTAATACACGAGTTTCACAATTTTAGTTGAATTACTGAAATAAATGAACTTTTCCACGACATTCTAATTTATTGAGATGCACCTGTATAGATAGAGTGGTGCCCAAGGTGAAACTGTGGCCTGACCGACTCAAAGAAAGGGCACGAAGCCGCAGCGTGTAACCCCTACCATACAGGATTTTAGAAATAACGCAAAGTGCTTGATGTGTGTCTTTACCACAACATGGATTTTAGAAAGTGCACAGAGACTTAGCGTGCGCAC